GATAGCTAAACAGAAAGCCAAGCCAAGCAATACTCCTCAAATAGGGCAGATCTCCCTATATAGTTAACTGGTTCACTTCCTTAATCAGAGCTATACTACTGTACTGGTAAAGCAGCCAGCCCACAAGAAGAAAAAAAACTTTAAGAAACTAGGAAAAATTCAGCAGGCAGTAGCACTATGCATCACTGGTGCTCTTCGATCCACTCCAAACGAAGATTTAAATGCCATACTGAGCCTTATCGATCCCGGACTAGCTGCTACAGAACGGTCTAGGGTAGGGCATCTAAACTCTAGGCCCTCCACGCGGAGAATGATACTCCAAACAACTAGGCATTAGAGCCTACCCTCCTTTAGACTGCTGCGGGTAGCCAATCACCAGTAACTCGTAAACTGTAGGATTAGACTGTAGATCATTTCCACCATACCGCTCCAGGTTGAAATGGATGTTATCGATACAACACTAGCCTCTTTTAAAATCCAACATATGGAATTCAACAGAAGAATGAACAATGTTAGCTTGAACTCCGCTTCAATTTTCCAATGTCTCAAAATAAGGAAAATCCTAATTTCTGAGGATGGATAGAAATGGCTAGTCCTAGTTAAAACTAAGAGACTAGTTCGCGTAGAAACAGACAGACAGACAGACGGACATGCTCATATCAACTCAGGAGGTTATGCTGACCTAGACAATATATACTTTATAGAGTCGTAGATACATATCTCCTTCATTCCTTTGCACACTTTTGACCAAACCTATAATACACTATGCAAGGGTGTACACATTATTACGAAATTATCTCTGCCTGAATCTTACTCTTTAAGAGCGTAACTTGCCACTTTTTTGTTACTCTAAAGGAGCCCATCCACAACATGTTGTGGTCGATGAAATTTTTTCTGTGGATGGTAGTGTTCGTTGTCAAATTTTGTGTTCGTTTGTTCTATTTTGACAACGTTGGCAACAACATGCTCGTAAATGGATGGCAATGTTGGCACGAACGTCAGTTGGAAAAACGTTTTGGTAGAGCAAAATGAACAAAACATTCCTGCTAGATTTTATTGATAGCCTAAAAAATGAGCCTGCGCTATACTACGCCAAAAGCGATGCATATAAAAACAAGCAATTGCGTAATAATGCATGGGAAGTTCTACTCAAAAAATATAGAGTTCGATGAGCACGCCACACTAGAAACCGTTATCAAGGGGTGTCAAGCATTGCAAATATTCCTAATAATACAAATTCTAATGGTCAATGCCAGATGCCAGCATCCATGTATTCACGAAAACAAATGTATCTTGAGAACACTCCACATATGAGAGACTCAAATACATCTTCTTTTTCGTCTAATCAATTGGAAGACAACAAAAATGATTTTATAAAAACCAAAAACAGAACCGTTTCTGCTACATCCTTTGAAGACTTGTTCTACAACGATTATAATTAAATAATCGATTTACAACGATATTATAAATAAAAAAAAATTGTTACCTTGATATAAGACTTTAGCATTTTAATTATTGCTCGACATGTTTAAATTATTTTGCGCCCTAGGCTCTGGGGAGAAATTCCTGTTAAGAATTTCAGGTCTTCATAACTTTGGCCGCTAGCCAAAAAACACAAAGTCGCTGAAAGGCGTTCGTTTGCGCTTATTGCCTCACGCATTTGTGTGTCTTGTCTTCGTATTTCAGGCACTACTAAATTTAACAGTTCTTCATATGTAGAACTGTCCATTCGAAGAAAGTTTTTTAAATCCATAGACGTTTCATGCAACTCCTTTAAAAGCTTCTTATGTGTGAATTTTATCCGCTTTGCGTACCATTCCTTCATCCACATACTGTGCTTCCTTTTTTTCGCTTCATTTTGTTTTTTCTTTTTTTCTAATCAAATACTTATAGCCATAAGTGCAATTACAGTGCCGCTGTCGTTGTCCGTTGACATGTTGATAGTTTGAAAATTTATCGAAAAATGATGTTCGCACGAATGTTGGCTCTAGTTAGTGGGGAAAATGAAATTCAAATTCAAGCATGTTCGTCAACATGCTCGCCTGTGGATGGGCCCCTTGAGTGTTACGTTTGCATTTTTTAATTAATTAATTAATAAATTCGAGAATTCGAGAATTACCCTAACCTATTTCAATTTGACCCTAGCCGATCAATATAATCCAAAGCGCAAGTGCATCATCTCAACAAAGAAAATTATCTAATGCTCTCAAATGCTCATGCCGTACAACATACAACAAAGCGCATGCGAACCCAGGTAAAAGACAATTATACAATAGTAGATGCTGATAAGATGTTAACAAGGTTTGATTGTGGCTGGTCCAACACTAAGTCTTTTCTTTAATGCCTAAGTTTCAGATTTTTTGTAGCATCTTTGTGTACCTCACCTGGAACATATACTATCCACCACAGCGATCTTTGCTTAATTGCTTCTTTTCAGCTTAACTTCTAGCTTAACTTTCTTTTTGAGCTACTTTGTAACAGCTAACCTGCTATTCGTCCCAGATTGTGATGCCAGTCAATAATGACCAAATCCACTTCAGCATCCATTTCAGGGACAAAGGAGAAGAACCAAAAAAAAAGATCACCAAGGTTGTGACGGATGATAATGGGTACCAAGAAACATTTGATTGAGCCCCTGCTTGAGATTCAATGCCTTTATTGTAAGAACAATAATAATGTGTGGTCCCAAGTTCCCTATGTTTCGAAGGATCGTCCATTTTTTTTAGGGCGGTGTTCTCATTGCTGTTTATTAGAGGAAAAATTTCTTTTTCTCGCTAGTTTCTTTTTACAGTGATAGAAACTTTGGGTTTAGGTTTACTTTACTTTACTTTGGGTTTAGGTACGTATCTTTGATAATAAACGTAATAATGAGTAAAAGTTTAAATTTTTCTTTAATGTTTCATTAAAAAAAATTATATATATTTTAGTTCAATTCAATAGGTTTGAAGTCGAAATAAAAACAACTAAGAGTTGTCTCCTCCAGATTAGAGCACATATCTGGCTTATTTGGCTACCATTCTTCCTGAACTTTTTCCCAAAAGAAGTTTTTTTTTTGTTGATCCCACTTAACCGCTTTGAGGATTTCCCCCAAATGCTTGAAAGGGGTTTCATCAGGTTACTTAGCTGATCAATACATAACGTCCATTTTGATATCCAGGACCAATTTGGTGGCAAGCATTTTGATGTACTTATAATGGCTATCCTGTGCAAACTTTCACTTCAAAACATCGGCATATGGTACCATAAAATTGTTCATTATATTCACAATTCTACGAATCAACCCCTGAACCGGAGAACATGGGGCTTTTTGGGTTTTTAACATGGGGCCTACAATCAGATCTAAGCAACTCTATTTTTGTTTTATAGTAGAACAGAGTCGCTTTGCAATTTTTTTTGGGAAAAGCGTTATAACTTTAAAAATTTTCATAACTTCGTAATGAAATTGGTCTCATTTTATTTCATTACGACGTTTTATTCAGGATTAATGAGACAATATTGATATGAGTCAAAAATGATACCATTTCTAGTAAGTTGTAACGGAACAATGGCGTCAAATTCCGAAAAACACGACGAAAATTCAAAATTTTCAGTTTCTTGTTTACAAATTGTATCCTTTTTCTTTAAATTAATTGAAGATCTTATTTTTTTTAAATCAACAACATTTAACTATTGAAAAACGCCGGAAATTTTAAAATCGGCTTCAAATTAAACGTTCTGGAATTTTTAAGAGCAAAAAAGTCCCGAAAAACCAAATAAAGCAAGATTTTGAGGGTGTTAGATATACTTCAAACACGGTTTTGTACTATATTCGCCCTACTAAACAATTCCTACAAGGTCTTTTTAAAAGTTCCTCAATTTTTATACCCTTGCAGAGGGTATTATAATTTATAATTTTGACCAAAAGTATGCAACGCAGTGAAGGAGACATCTCCGACCCTATAAAGTATATATATTCTTGATCAGAATCACCTCCTGAGTTGATATGAGCATGTCCGTCTGTCTGTCTGTTTCTACGCGAACTAGTCTCTCAGTTTCAAAGCTATCGACTAGAAAGTTTCCACACACTTTTCTTACTCTTCAATTTCTAACTCAAATGGTAAATCCAAATTTTAGCTCGCAGTAAATCCAATTTACCATTTCCAATCAATCAGTTATAGGGCAGCTATAGGATATAGTCGGTATTGTCGGTATAGGTATTATAATTTTGTCCAAAAGTGTGCAACGCAGTAAAGGAGTCATCTCCGACCCTATAAATTATATATATTCTTGATCAGGATCACCTCCTAAGTTCATATGAGCATGTCCGTCTGTCTGTCTGTTTCTACGCAAACTAGTCTCTCAGTTTTTCGGGTCAGGCAGCTACACAGCGGTCTAATGTTTATGTTTAAGTAATGCTAATTTAATGTTTAGTCTAATGTTTATTATCCTTTATTATCCTTACGTATAGCTAAGCTAAGTTGAGCGCAAGCCGAATCTCTCTCGGCCGCTCGACTTAACGGGCTTTCTTTAGAGAGTTTTAGCTCGCAGTGACCAGTCGGGCCGCCCTCTCTGTACATTTTACTTGAGTCCCTGCATGGAGATAAGCTGGTCATCTGCTGATCATCCGGCTTCATCTGCATGCAGGAATAAACATTTATAGCGTTTCAAATTATATAAATTCGCCTTTTATTTTTACTAGCATTGAAAGCCCCCAATGACCAAACACCAAAATAGGGATCGGCCAACTCCGATCCGATTTTTGCGGTATATATCAGGTTTTAACTGCAAGGGTATATAAACTTAAGCTCCGCGCAAAGTTAGCTTTTCGTTCTTGTTATCTAATTTTTTCAAACTCATAATTATTATTTGCAGTCCCTGCGTCCAGGAAGACCCACTATATTTATATTTTCTCCTGAACCCAGGTCTCAAAACACTATCACGCAACACCGCAAAACATAGGTGTTGCAATTTATAATTACTAACAAAATAAATATGTCAAAAATAAAATATACGTACCTGTAGTTTATTTATTTTTAATCGAAATTGGCTTATAAAGGACTTTCCCTGATATGTCATAAACGCATCATAATATCGCGTTACGCCTGAAACATTAAACACAATTCCATTGGTTAAATATAAGCCAACTTCATATGTCACGAACAAGGGCTTCTGAAAAAAAGATGTGTTTACAAATATTGATATAATAATTCTTAACTTATTATTTATATTGTAATATAATTAAAGCATCTAATTTTTATACATTAAATATATATATTTTATGAAGTAAACATCCCCATCCCCAAAATATCTGATGTAAATTTTAAAGACGATTTTTTTCGCAATATATGGATACAAAACAAAAAAATAAAATTAAAAATTATTTTCGCAATATATGGATTCAAAACAAAACAATAAAATTCGTCCACCTCACGTGAATGTTTCTTTTTTATTGCTATTCATATTTTTATTGCTCGTTCCAAAAATAATGTTCTCAAATTAAGGATTTTAACCTCTGAACCAGTCTGGATACATTATTGTTTTCTGTCTGTTGTACAGTGTTCATTTTGTTTTCCGGCTTATTGAGGTCCCGTTCGAATTCAACTCCGAGACTATACTTTAGAAGTTTTATGTCCTTCATGTCAAGAAAACTGTGCTTGCTCTTGGAGGATCAATTTAAAGGTACTCCGTAGATTGCCTGCCGGATTGCTTTCGTATTTTTCAATCCTTACTTGACTAGTATTTGACTTGACTACTACTCGATACAGCCCTTACACAGCATCGTAAACAACTTCGTCGAACCAAACACCTCATGTACACACTAACATTTCAATTAAACCATTACGTGCAGGCAGTACGAAGGTTTTACCACAGCTTACTCTTCGGTTTTGGCAAATGTCTTTGCAAATAGTCTGACTTTCATCTTTAAATCGGCCATTGGCATGGTGTTTGGTTCAAGACCAATTGGTTGCGATGATTCTTGCCTGAGCGATCTATAAAACACAATTTTTATACCCTTGCAGAGGGTATTATAATTTTGTCCAAAAGTGTGCAATGCAGTAAAGGAGACATCTCCGACCCTATAAAGTACATATATTCTTGATCAGGATCACCTCCGGAGTTGATATGAGCATGTTCGTCTGTCCGTCTGTCTGTCTGTTTCTACGCGATTTAGTCTCTCAGTTTTAAAGCTATCGACTTGAAACTTTGCACACACCCTTCTTTCCTTTGCAGTATATAAGTCGGAACGGCCGGGATCGGCCGACTATATCCTATATAACTGCCATATAACTGATTGATCGGTAATGGTACAACTTTCGTATTTTTAAAGTTAGAAACTTGGAACTTTGTACAGATTATATTTTTGTCAGTTGATCCGACCTGCCAAATTTCATAACGATAGGCCGACTATATCTTACAGCTGCCATATGACTGAACGATCGGAAATGGTATTTGGTAAAAACACCAACTTTAGTGTTCTTGAAAATATTATATAAGTTTTGGACTTTTCTTAGATTTTGTTTTCTAAGGAATTGGTTATATTATGATATCCTCATAAGGGTCGGCCAACTATATCCGATTTTTGCGATATATATCCGGTTTTAGCTGCAAGGGTATATCAACTTCGGCTCCGCCCGAAGTTTGCTTTCCGTTCTTGTTTTAGATATTTTATTGCAATTATGATATTCTCATATTCTCTAATTGTTGAATCTTGAAATAAAATCCATTGACATCTATTTTTAATAGCAACTTTCCCATGGCGTTCCCATTTGCGTAATTTTGGCATTGCTAACCGTTTACGAGAACCGGGTATAATAAGAAAAATCCGTTCAGCCGTTCTCGAGTTTTAACGAAACTAACGAACCGAAATTCATTTTTATACATATAGATATTGCTTTTTTTCGTTACTAAAATGGATATCAGATATTTTGGGCGTGGCTTGCGGGTTGTCAACGTTATTACCTCACCCAGAGATTTTTAATACCTTGCGATAGATATTTTAATTTTGGTCAAATGTGTACAACGCAGTAAAGGAGACATCTCCGAGCCTATAAAATATATATATTCTTGATCAGGATCACCTCCTGAAGTAATATAAGCATGTCCGAGTGTTCGTCTGTCGGTTTAAAGTTTAAACGTAAACTAGTCTCCCAGTTTTGAACCTATCGTCTTGAAACTTTGCACACACTCTTCTTTTCTATGCACGCAGTATATTAGTTAGAATGGCCGGGATCGGCCGACTATATCCTATAGCTGCCATATAACAGAACGATCGGAAATGCCAAACCTTTGGTGTTTTTGAAGATAGAAAAGTTGGAACTTTGTACAGATTATGTTTTTGGTCAGTTGACCCGAGCTATTAAATTTCACAATGATCGGCTGGCTTTATCTTATAGCTGCCATATAATTGAACGATCGGAAGTGGTTTTTGTAAGCGCATACTTTAGCGCCTGAGCAAAACAACAAAAAAAAAACCTACGGCCAAACCTACCGACTCAGTAGGGAAGCAGACTGAAAAGTCTATAACAGCAATAAAAATGTTCCGATTTGGCTGCTTTTTGATTTGTAGTTATATCGACTCGGCTGTTGATGCTGATAAAGAATATACCTCTCTACTCGAAAACACCAAAGGGTATAAAAACACCAAAGTAGAATTTTCGATCAATCTGGTATATGGGAGCTCTAGGACATATAGTCGGCCGATCCCAGTAATGGCCAAAATACGAAAATTTAGAAGAGTTCAACCTCTTTAGAAAATTACAAAACTTACACATCCACCAAGAACACGGATTATCTTAGATATCTTAGATTAGTATATATTACGGCGCTTTAGCACCGCAATATCTATGTCGGGCCTCCCTCTCCGCTATCGATAACTTTAGCTTTGCTATATCTAGTGAGGCCGCACTCTCTGTTCATTACATTAATTCACTGCTTAGCACCATAATATGGTACATACATATGTGTCTATCATAATTTGATCATCCAGCTTCATCTGCCTGCAAAATAAATAACTTAAAACGTTCAACCTCAATTACCAAACATAAGCGACATCAAAAGTTAGGTCATCTCAAAAGATATCTATAAAAATAAAATTATTCGAATAATTTAAAAAATAAAATATAAATTATAAAATATAAAAGTCTCCTCGAGGGGCCCTCCTCGTAAATAAACTGCACCGGACAGCGACGATGCGCGTCGCTAAAAAGTAGAGACACACCCTTTTCCCTTTTCCCACAAACTGTATTTACCCACTTCCTATCCCAAAATACTATCTTACCCTGGGCCGGAAGGTGTTACGAGACCCGTTCTAAAAAGCCTTACACGGTGTCGCGGATCTCCGCCTCGGTGGACTATCTACCGCAACTCGTCGGACCAAGGAGACGGAGACGGGACCTCCTAAGAAACCCAAAACCCAAAGCTGGCTGTCGGGTTTTGCAGGTTTTAACAAGTTGGGCAGCTCTAACCAAGTTTGGCGCATTTAAAAGCATCGTATTCTACGACGTCACAATGCATTTCTGCACTTTTGACCCGCACAATAACTCCCTCTCTCGCCCTTTCAAGCGATTTGCCTTCTGCATCTGCCGTCTTTTTCGAAACTAGAAGTATAAAGCGTTATAATTGGTATTCTCTCGCCGTCTCGCTGTGTAGAAGCTACATGCAATCGTTCGCAACTATTATTATATTTCGGTTATATATGTAAATGAACAAAAAAATACATAAAGTTATGGATTTATTACACAGGCCGACAATTTCCAATTTTTTTTTTCTCAACGCATAGTTTCAACTTTTCCATAACCTTTAGGCTCCACTGTACCAAGGTTTATAACAAACATAGATTCAATCACCCACAGTTTCCGCGGTACACCGAGAAAATTGCTCAAATTTTACAACATGTTAAATTATGTAGGCCGTGTAATTGCGTTGATCATTATTGTTTTTAGTGAAATGTACCAATTGCATACCAATTAAAATTAGGAAATGGCATCAGTTACCATATCTTTTGAATACTCATCCAAAATTGAAATCTCAGATTTTATCCATTTATTTTTTATTTTATTATTTTTCCCAAGCATTTTCCAATGGAACAATTTTTATTTTATTTATTGAAATAAGAAAATTATATGATGTTTTAATTTTGGATTTAAAAAAGAGCACTAAATAATTTTATTGAATATATTAAAGTTCACTATTTTTGTCAATTATATTAGAGTTTTTAATTTCATTCTTCTTTAATATCGTGTCACAACTTAGGGTTGTCATCTCCGGTCCCATCGCCATGATGGCACCTTTAGGTGCAGTGAAGGAAGGCGGGCCTCCAGCAACTAGCGAAGGCCTAAAGAAACGTACTTACGCGGAGAAAAGAAACGCTGAAGCCGTAAAGACTAAGAAACCGTAAAGAGGCCAAAACCTCTAAACACTCAGACTCCCGGCATATGGCACGACGGTCCCTGCACTGGATCCCATCTTTATGAGCAACCCCAAATTAAGCGGGAACGCTCCCAAGATGAACCAGGAGGACCCACTACAAAGGTCCATTGCTGAGATTTGAAAAAGTCGCATACTTCTAGTTGATCGAGTAGTTGACCGAGGAAACCTGCATGACTAGTCGCAAAGTGTTTCGAGGTCTAGGACAGATAACCAGGCCCAGCCCCAGTATGCAAAGATGTGTGGTGTTTCCAGGGCAGCGTTATGGTGGGAGCGTGCGACGATCTGGCGAGTGGTGAAGTGGGAACAGATGGAGGGACCGACCATCCATGCGGTCTGGGGCGATAAAACAGCAGCTAAATCATAGAGAAACTGGCTTCAAAGATTACAACAGATGCCTCTTTGCTGCGGTGCAATGCAGCTAGTTGGATGGATGACGATGACATCACCAACGACGAAGAGGCGGAAGTCACAGTGTTGGATGAGGACTTAGCTAAGGAAATTAAGCAGCTAGCAGCCAGTCCAGAAGGTAGAACTAGATAGCCTAGATAGGCACTTCTTCTCCGACCATAGATACACAGAAACATCCCTACTTTCACAAAAGCTCAAAGGTAGAAATTTTCCAAAACCCCAGGAAAACTGACTGGTCAAAATATTCCCAAGTCATTGCGAATAC